CACTCTTTCACACACACATTCAGCTGAAGTCAGCAGCCCGGTGGTGAAAGCAGAAGAAAGTATGTGCCCACTAAGCAAACATTACTCAGCCCTGCAGTGAGAAATTACCAAACAGGAAATGTTTGGGTTTCAAGGCGACATCCTTCACCTGTCAGCTGTGTGTGACTGAGGTAATAATGTCAACACCCCAGAATGTTTCAATTTCATGTCCCTCAAAAACAAGGATAAAAACACTGTGAGAGTGACACACTAAAGCTGAGGGGTGTTGTGTTGATGGTGGTGTTTATTTCCAACCACAGACATTAAATACAACTGCTTTCATCTGCTCCATCTGTGTGTGTGTGTGTGTGGCTTCATATTTGTGTGTGTCCACTGTAACAGCCCTCACATCCAGGCAATCGCACCACAGTTCATAATAATGTACAACCTTCAGTACTTCACAATAACATCACTAACAGATTTGTTACATTTTGCATAAACAGACGAGCAAACGCTCCGGCAAATATTCACAAACATTAACTCAGTTAATATGAAACAGCACCAGAAACATTGCATATATTTTTATATTTATTATTAGACTAAAGACTAGGGTTTAGGTCCTCAGTACCTCTGTATGCAGTAATATGTACAGTATACAGGTACTCAGTTTTAAATGCTTGACATTATTATTGCTATTCATACGCGTTTCTCCAGGCTCATTCAGTCGGGGGAAAGGTGTTGAACGTCTCTTACAAACAGACACGTCTGGAAAACAGTCAAATTAAAATCATAGACCAGAAATAAGAAATGGATGAAGTCAGACGGCAGCAAACTGTGATTGTGATGTAATCTGCCAAACTGTACTCAACACATGACTAGAATTTGTCAAGCTGAAAGTTGAGATTTATTTTTTGTAATTATTATGGCTGATAATTAGTTAGCACTTCTACCACCATTTTTACAGCTTCACTCGTGCAACCATGTGGCTTTGTCCATTTCTTATATACATCCTACAGTCAAGCTGCAGTACCAAACAGGTCTGAATGGTTGTCATTTTTTTTTCTCTCTGTGAAAAGATGGAACAAAACAGAACATGGTGAAATCACAACACAGAAAAACTAAATGCAAATATATATATATATATATATATATATATATAAAATAAAAGTGTCCAAAGACAAACAGAATGTAAGATCCTGACTGAATGAGGTGGTCCCTGATCTCTCACCATCTTTTATTTCTTTCTCCCCTGTCTCTTCTTCATCATCATCTTCCTCATCCTCAGTCTCTTTGGTCCATGTGTACAAAGTGAGATGGAATGTTGGCAAACCCCCCCCCCCCAAAAAAAACATACAAATAAACAGAGCAAAACAAAACAAAAACAAACAGGTGTTGTCGTTGCTATGCTGATGGAGGACAAATCCATGGTCGTGTGTGGGTGGGGGTGTAAACAGCAGCCATAAATTAACTGAAAAAAACAACAACAAAAGAAATCAAATGATTGCTGGAATGAAACGAACATGGGGAATTTTTCAGAGAAGGAAAGTATGTAAAGTTGAATCAAAGAAAGGGGAAAAATAAAAGCCACAGCTCGGGTAAGTGAACAGGAAAAAGCTGTGAGCTGTAAGTGATGAAAGCTTATTTTTCTTTTACTATTAACTCTGGTTCTCCGGAATTCACCGGCAACAAAAAATGTGTCACGATCGACACGTTGACGAGCTAAGAATGTGTGGAATCCCCTACTCCACAAACCACAAACTTAGCAGCCACAAGGTGGAGCCACTGGTCCTTAGCTTAATTCTTAACTGACTACTACATTATTTAGATAGATAGTCTGTAACCTAAAAATTATATTTAAAAACTACATTTACAGATTTAAAATAGACTTTAAAAAACGTTTCCTTAAAAATGAGTCAGAGATCAGATCATTACTTTATGAAAAAATATTGCTGTAAAGTACAATGGTCGGGTTTAGCACAAAGCTTAAAGATCTTTTTTTAACGTAGTAGTCAATTCTAATATTTAAGTGTTAAACCCTGCTCACTGCAGCCTACTGTCTCAAGTAGTACACAAGCAGTCCAGCAGAGGGCGCCTTACACCTTGCGTATGCCAAAGCTTGAGCCTTATTCAATGTACAATTTTTGTAGCCCTCTCACAGGCCACTAAACCCAAATAAAGACAGGACTTAAATTCTCTAAAATGCACTCAAAGAAAATGTTACTTTTTAAATTTCACTGCTGCCTTCACAGGACTGTTTTAACATTGTTGGTGTCAATTACACAATAGAAATAAATCCATTGGTTTCTTTGCTATTCTAATGTTAATCTGTGGATTAATGATTTATTAAGGAAAATTATTATAACTTTATGTCACTTAAATAACAGCAGGCTGATGTTTGTGTTTCACACAATTTGATTTGTATGTGACTAAATCAAATAAAATAATTATTAGTATGGAAAAATATTGAGGAAACAAACAAACAAAACAATAACTCAAACTTCAGCTTCACAGAGTTGATGGATCGATGTCATACCTGTGCCATTAGCTTGTATTCCTTAACAATATTAATAATCTACAGTTCAGTTAAACTGAAACTCCTTCCGGCAGTATGTGCCACTTACAATTTGTGTACTGAATGTCTGTTAGCATATAGAGTACTTTGCATAAACACGTGTACCTCTTATGAACACAATTTACTTATAAATTTCGACAGCCCTTTTAGAAAGACTAAATGCAGCGTCAGCACACCCTGAGACCACATGGGTTATAATTCTGCACCAGTCACTTGGCAGCCAAGTGTACCATTGTCTGAGACAGTAGGTTTACTGTCTCCTCCCTGAACATCCTGAATAATTAGAGCCAGGCAAAGGGACAGAGTGAAAGCACAGGAAATGTTAAGCCTGGACAGGACATAAAGGGAAGTTTCTTTACCACATGCCAGGTCTTTACAATGGCTGAGATGCTTGTGAGTGGGAGATAAGTCCACAACAGCAGAGCACATTCAACTTAAGGCTCATTAGTGCAACGCTCTGTCAAACACATTCAGCTTCAAGACTGAAAGAAAAAGGAACCAGGAAGCCAAGGCATGACTGCAGAGAAACAGGGACATCATTTCAGGATTTAGGGCTGGAGTAGAAAAAGTCAACAGGATCAGACTGAAAAAAGGAGGAGAAAGGAGTGTGAGAACAATCAGCGTCTTGTGGGAAAGAGGGGAAGAACGAGCCTTACTTTTTCTTGTCCTTATCTTTCTTGAGCTGCTGAGATAAGGAGAGTGTCTCAGCTGCCACCTTCTTCCTGTTGAAGGCATTCATCTCCTCCTCCAGATCCCTCCGCTTCTCCTCCACCTTCCTCTTCTCCTCCTGATGCATCCGCTTCAGCTGCTCAAACTTGTCATGCAGCTGAGGGGCAGGACAGGACGGTAATGATGGACAGGAGACATTTAGTCAATTTTTTGTGTAATGGAATAGTATTTTATTAGTTGAAAAAAAATGACCAAAACATGTCTGGTTGGAAACAAAGAAAAGATATATGTAGCCACTACAATTTTATTTAGAAAAGACCAAAACTAAATCAAACCTCGTCCCTAAGGGATTCCACTTTGAAATGTTTGTGTTACATTTTTGCTGGAATAAAATCAAAACTGTCAACCAGTTTCTAACTATAAAACCAGCAGGGATTTTCCGGTTGGTCATATATCATCCACCCAGACTCACCTCTCGCTCTTTTTCTTTTAGCTCTGCTTCTGTCTCTCTGACTTTGTTGACAAACATCTGCCTCATTTCTTCCTCTTTACGCTGCAGGTCGCCTAAAAACTCTTTCCTCTTGGCCTCGTATGTCTCTTGTAGACTGTAAAAAGAAAATACAAAAACACAAAAAAGTCATATGGAACACTGACCGCACATTAATGCATCTGTCGATGACAAATACTGCACAGGTCAACTGTGCAGATATCTCTGCCTCTACCTGAAGGGCTCACTGTCTGGGTCTGTATCTTTGAAGCCCATCTCCTCCAACTTGCAGCGTCGATACAGCTCGTAGTGGCGAGCGTGAGTCTGCTCCCTCAGATCCTCCATGTTGACCCTGATCAGCATCTCTCTGAGTTTAACAAAGTCACAGTGGCTCTCATTTTCAACTGTGGAGGAACAAAACAGCATAATTAGGACCACGGGTGTGACTGAAGCGAGCACCTTGGTAATTTCGGACAAAATCTGCACGGAGAAGATATCTCATTGAGAAAGTCACATTTTCTATACTGACATATCGCGATTTTTCATTTCACTATACCATATTGGTATTCTTCATCACTGTATTGATTTTTTATGAACATTTAGCACACAAATATTCATGGCGTTTTAGTAACCTGATGTTAAGCATTGTCTGTTTAATATGCTGACAGTTCTCCTACAATTAAATTGTTTAAAAAAAACCTCAATATATTATCACAATACATCGTATTGTTGCCCCTGTATCGTGACACATCCTATGGCCAGATTTTTGCTGACTGTTTAAATCGACTAATAACACCCCTCCCTGTAACAATAGGGCCTTTTCTTTTCCCTGTTATTTTTATTTTCGATTCGAGCTCAAGATATGCTCAAAGTCCTCGTGGTAAATTTGATATCGCCTCCAACTTTTGAAATGAGAGCAAATTCTGGCCCAAATAAGAAGTTATTGCAACTTGTCTTGGAGAAGAAAAGAAACAAATAAAACAGCAAAGGTGGCCTATAAAAACCAGCATGTGATGTCAAATGACTTCCCCTCTTTCAGGAAGTATATTCAATTAACCTGTTAGCAAATCTCAGCAGAGATTTAGTCTGTCATCTGCAAGTGGCTGCTGAGGGCATGTGGGAATAACTGGGGGCTGCAGCATGTGCCGTCCACCCAGGGGGAAAGCAGTGGTGGATGATGGGATGCATGTTGTGTTTAAATACCACCACAAGCTGTGAGCTCTGAGGGTGTTGCTATTGCAATTAGCCTAGCATTTAGCTTCTCTCAATGGAAAACTAAAATGAAAAAAAATGAAAAAAAAACTCAATGGAAAACTAAAATGAAAAAAAAATGAAAAAACCCCCCAGATGGTTAGAGAAGAAAAACAGCATCTTAAAGTGACTAAAACCAACTCATCTCTCTGCTGCTTAAAATATTTATGGACCAAGATGACACAGCTGTGCAAATTCCTCTTATTTTCACACTAATTCGCTGCTTAACCATAAACATCATTAGCATGGGGAACGAGTTAAAAACAGAATTGAACAGTCATCAGAAGCTGCAGCCGGGCTGATGGAGCTGACTGTTCACTTGGCATCACACAGTCTGAGGCCAAGCCTGTGATGGACTGCAGAGCTGAGCCCTCAAGAAATGTGAGCAGAGCCAGTGTGCACGTGCACACTTCAACAAGCACCAAAATAACAGACAGTGGCATGGTTGTGTGTTTTTAACAAGACAGCTACTTAAAAGTACTGACAGGTCTGTGGGTCAGGCAGAACATTAGTTTCTGGATTTGTTTTTCATTCAGACATTCTGACATCATAAATAGAACCTTAAAGATACAGCAATCTTTTTAAGGTAACTCTGTGCATCAGCAGTAATGTGGAATCTAGCTTTAGTTTTATAAAAGATAAGGCTGTCAAACCATTAGAATTTATGTGATTAATGGAGGGGTAGCTGTCGATTAATCACAATTACTCATGATTAATCCTGATGGTAAATAACCACAATTAATCGTTAAAAATAATTGTTAAATATTGTTTTATTGGAGAAATGTGTTAAGTTTAATAGCACTAAAGAAAGTGTTTTAAGTGTTGTTTAAATTCCCTGCACATGAATGTAAGGTTTCAGTATCAATGGTTATCTGTAACTACCAGTCACTTTACTGGGACAACCAGATTATTGCTGTTCCACCAGTTTACTAGTTGTTTAGTCCGTGGAACCACACAATGGCTGACAGAACAGAAACATGGGTTTGGCTATAGGTCACAAATGTCTGGAGTTGCAAGATAACAGCACTAAGATCCAAAAGAGATAACACACACACACACACAAAGTTCCTTCCTCCAAATTACTCAGTTTGTCAGGAGACAGTCCCTCCTCTGTCTTCCCTGAAGTCTGTGGAAATTTCCCATGGCTCTTAGAGAGGTTACCATAACCCGTCACCATGACATCTGACATCTACAAACAGTTTCCACTGATACAGACCCTCCTCTCAGTCAGCTGATGGTCACAAAACACTGAGACTTCTGTCCTCTTCACACAACATGATAAAGTGTGGAGTATGAATATTGGTCTATCAGTGTGAAAGCGTGCCTGGTTGAAAGTGTATTGTGTAACAACCGTTGGCAGCCACACACGGAGGAACACTGAGAAAATGTAGAAAATATTTTCTAGCATAGTGAGTTAAATGACATTTAACAAAAATACATTTCTGAACTGAAATAAAATAAATATATTTGTAATAGATATATTAACTGTAATAGATATAATAAATGTAGTAAACAAATAAATATTTGTAAACCATAAGAGAAAAAACTTTTTAAAACGTGAATTTTTTCTCTTCTACTGACATGTGGTCCTTCACAGATGTTACATAAATAGATATGATGTGCTTTTAAAGTTAGGTCATAGGAAATGGCAGCTATTGTTGCACACCTACTATGTACAGTCTATTGTTACTGTTGTTTACTTTTGTTCCTCGTGTGTTCTTGAAGTGCAGTCTTTAATCTCAAGAACCCTTATTATCAGCTCTTTTTTTCACATCTAACGCACACCTAATAATGATAAAATCAAAAACACTTTCTCCCAAACAAATATTAATTCCTAATATTTTTTTTAATCTGTTGAGACTTCTCTCTATTTAGTGTTTTGCTAGACATAGTGACTGATGGGCTCCAGAGGAATCCAGGCCCCACAGGGACAAACAGTAGAAGATATAAATAACCAGAGTGTCTACAGAGGATTAGGCAATGAAGAGTGGTCAGCCGATAATGAGGAGGGAGGGAAGGAGTGAGATAGGAAGGGGGGAGGAAAGACAGGGAAAGGGAGGAGAGCGGAGAGAATAATTCCCATCTGAGCAGTCATATTCTCACACCACAAATCAGGCTGAGTTAATAAATATAACTGTTTATGCTCAGTGACGAGCACACAGGAATGTTCTTTGGGAAACAAAGTTCCCAAGACTCCTTGGAATCTGAGGAGAGAGTTAATGCAAATTAAAATGGTCAAAAAGAGGAAGAACATGGGATTATCCGTATCTACTTATCCGAGAATAATGTGTTTCACAAACATGCAAACCTTCAAGGTCAGATCAAGGTACGAGGCAGGCAAATTAAGATTATTATCAGCGTATAAATTCTCATTTCACTGCGTCACTCCACATGAAGTCAACTCGCAGCAGTGCTGGCCATGCTGCACCGAGAGGGAGGGTAAAAATAAACAGGACAATGGTGGGACGTGTTTGCTGCTTTGCCAAGAGCAGGAAACGTCTCTCAGCGTGGATACTGATAGAACGCTTGCTCTTTACAGTACAGTGAGCACAACCTCTGAAATAACTATGAGGATGCAGTATAAATCATGAGCACAATCTACCTAAACAAATAAAACAAGTCCATATTAGCCAGCCTCATACATTCCTGAATGTATTTGACAGAAGAAAGATATTTTAATTACAGGATTACAGGAAGAGAATCAAGTCTACAATGTAGACTATATGTATTTGTATTTTTTAGTATCTACAAAAATGTTGGGTGTAAGCCACCTGCGTCTAAATATTGGACCATGAGCCACAGTTTTAATGCATTACATTGTTATTGGGCCAAAGGCATCAACACAAATACTTGTTAATTCAACGCAACTGGATGCTTTAAAAAGCAGCAGGTTTAGCTCCAAAGAAAAAAGGGAAATGAAACGACCTGAAACTTTGACATTAATGAACACAGACGACTGTTGGGGCTGGAAAGAGACTGATCCATGTTATTTCCTCAAAAATGACACACCCATGACCACATGAAGTCCCAGAAGAACCCCAACACATGATGCAAGCGTATCACGGTGAAACTTTGTGCCTGCACTGGATGCTAACTTTTGAAAACAACATCCCACACCAGTAATCACAAATTTTAAACAATTAGCAGTAAGGAGAGCTTCAGAGAGAATTTACAAATGGTAACAGAACAGAACAAGCACATTTCAGCCTTAAGAAAAGTGTCTGTGTGAAAACCACATATTACCAATGTAGTTTTTATTTCATAAAGTTTTGCAGGAAGAACTTTGGTGCTCAGTGAATTCACATGTAAAAGGATCTCACCTTGCACCACGCCCCAGGGGTACTGTCTGGCCCTCACTGTTTTGTTGCCCACTTTGACCTCCTCCACACTGCCGACCACAGCAAACGGCAGATGGGCCTGAACAGGAAAAAAGGTGTGGGATGAAGAGGTCATTAGGTCACTGGGTAACTGGAAGCATTTTTAAAAAAAGGGATTCCTGTCTCTGCCTGAGTTCTTCTGGGTTACACCTTGTCATTACTATACAGGAGACTCCAACAAGTGTTTTTTTTTTTTCAAATCATTGCTGTTTCATTGAGTAGCAAAACAGACCGATTAAATAGTAACAGTTTATTCCAAAACTCCTCTCTCGCCATTCTTATCTTTTACAACCAGACTGTGTTGACATATGAGCTGCAGCAGAAACCCTGCATCGTGTCATTAAGGCCTACTTCACTGGAATATTCACACAAAGGCTTTGCTGGGGCTACTGTACTTTGTAGGGTCAGCAATAAGGTATCATGGGAAAATAAATCGGCAACCCTTAAAAAATTTGGACCTCAAGATGAAACCATCTGTGTGGTTTTAGTTCAGAGGAACAAGCTGGTGAATGTGGGCGCTGATGTCATGGTCTATAAATAGATAGAGCCGCTGAACAAGGACCGTGCCCAGGAAAACAAGCACCGTCTTCTTTGTGTTCAGTCTTATTCCTGCATGTGGGAATTTACTGTTTGCACAATGTGGCATGTAATAAATTATACTGCATACTTGGTGCAGCTGAAGTAACTTCCTGTCTGAGTAAAAGTAATTAGCACATGGTTAATTATGTTAGTGACTGTTCAGTGTGTACTCGCTATCGCCGAGTAACAGTGGAAAAATGTACAGACAAACATACAGTATGAGGAAACACAGACACACACTTATAAACATACAATATGTCATTATGGAAAGGATGTTTAAAACTGCAGTATCTGCAGTTCATACATTTTATTAATTATTTGTTAAACTGTGTTTAGGTTTAAGGTTGATAGGCATTTGCTTTTTAGTGGGTTTTTTTTAACACAAATGGAACACACTGGTGTCACAGACGTGTGTTAAAAGCAAATAAAACTGTGTCAACATCAGCTGCTGTAACCAGATGTGGGGCAGATGTGGTGCTAAAAGTAGCGGGGCGTAAGTTTATGGACAAACAGAGCGACAGCACATGACTTACGTTCATGGAGGCGTTGATCTCGCTGACGGCTTCGTCGTCAGTTGGGAACTGATAGATCTGCACTCCGTTGCTCACCAGCTCACTCATTATTTTTATTTTGAACTTGTGCAGCTCACTCTTGGAGATTGTGTCTGCTTTGGCAATAATAGGAATGATGTTGACCTGAGGGAAAAAAACAGAAAAGAAAAGAATTCAGAGAGGTTGTCTCAGTCACTGTGTTGCAGTTAACTTTTATTTGTCAGGTGGGGAGGTCAAATCAGGGCAGTCGACAAACTCTGATTAACAATCCAAGCAACCTTTGTGGACTCATCATTGTTCATTATTTTTATAATTTTGCTGTTCCCTTAAAAGTAGCTGTAAAGTCATCATTCCCTGTTTTACTTTTCCTCTTTCATTATTTGATTTGTTTCCCTCCCTAACATTGGAGATGTCCAGCTAGAAGTAGTTAAAACCTGCTAGACGACAAAGTGCAATGTGACTTATAATTACTGACAATGTCTAATTTTAGGACACTAAAATTAAAAAAGGAGAAGTTCTTTTTATCTGTTATTACAAAGCAGAATAGAATGACATTTACTGCTCTGGTACAAGTACAGCCAATTCAACAGAACAGGAGAGCACTTAAACAAAGAACATTTCACACTGTGTATTCATAAGTACCCAATGATGTTGGCTTTTTATAACCCTTGCTGTTGTCCCTCAGTAGGAAACTTGACAAGTACAAGGAAATGTTTTTTAGTATTTCCTTGAAAAAGTAGATAGGAGAGGACAATTTTCTTTGACCAATGAAAAAAAGCCATGCTTGTATTGAACAGTCAACTTTAATTTCACTGGTACAATCCTTGTCCGAGACCATATGCAGTTAATCCATAAAGAAAATAAGCACAGGCAGAATTCCAAACAGTGATTAAGAAAACAAACTCGGCTCCTCGTCCAATCAGCAGCAGATGTACAGAAATAAACAGACAGTTTCCAATCTATAGCTTCATCACCCAGGAGGGTGGAGGAGACCGGCTTCACATCAATGATATCTGACCAAAGCCCGAAGCTCTTTTGTCAAAAGACAGATTCATCATAGTGTAGTTCTGAAGCAGGTCATCAATAACTGACCTACAAAGTAACACCAGTCAGTGAAGTCAAATGTATCAGAAACAGTCACTGAGAAGTTGGCGTAGAGTACTACATTTATTTTCATTTCCCATAACTTGGTTTTCCCAGCTGACCGTGGATTATTCCTAAATAGTTCTTGGTATTTGTTCAGAGCAACGAGGGTTGACAGACAGGAAGCTGTAATCCACATCAAAACAGCACAGATGAGAGTTAATGCAAATTTATCTAACGACAAATCAGAGACGTTAGCTGAAAAGAAAACTCTGGGTTTGATCTTGTAAATAATCAGATTAAGGTGAATGGGGCCGTAAGTATATGAATATGGGTGAAGTAAACACAAATACAAGGCAGCTGTGGGGTACGACTGGTATATGTTGCTTTAATATGACATAAGTATCACTTCTAAACATAACAAAACTATGGCAGTCATCAGTTTCCTGTAAATTCCATAATTACTGTATTCAGTAAATATCTAAAAAAAAAAAAACATATCAAGGGAATGTCAAGTATAACCTGACACTGTCTACTAAGGTATCTCTCTTCCTGTTTTCATTTACAACAAACCACACTTGCTTTGCTTGGCTTTCAACAACACTCCTCTAGGGAGGAGCGATGTGTCACCAACTCCCAGGAAAACTCCATTGTCTCACCCCAACAGCCTCCATGACTTCTCCTGAGACAAGATAATCTTGCAGTCAAGGCAGTCCTGTTCATTTATCTTTAGCTTCCAGATAGAACCAGTTATTTACACACAGAAATGTTCTCATTTAGCTGTAATTTGGTACTAAAATACAGCTGCGGGGAGCCAATTTTAAAATGCCAACCACAGCATTGGAGGAGATTCACTGTGACCAGTCATTGAGAGTATTATTATATCTGCAGATTCAGTTTTACTTCATTCTGAGTTGTGTTTGTTGTATGTCTTTTTGATGACAAACCTCACACCTGTTCATCAAACTGACCAGTTTGATACTGATGTAATGACGTGTTCCACAGGTTTTAGGGCAGATCAGTTCATTTAGGCTCGGCTAAGACAAAGGAATCAAACTGCAGACTGTGTTAAGGTCGTTGCGGTTAGTCGCTGCGGTAAATACTCCCCTCTTTTTCAATCTGGACAAACCGCTGCATACACACCATCGAGCCTGAGACAAAACATGCTCACTGTGGTCACTCCACAGCCTGGTTTCAGATAAAACAAAAGTGGTCAAAGTGCAAAATGAGGACTCAACGTAAGGACAGAGCCACTGAGGGCAGGCTGGTGTGTGCAGAGTGGCCACCCACTCAGGAAAAGGGGAAAAAAAAGGTATATCCTGTGTTACTCTGACAACACAGTGAAATCCTTTTAAAAAAAACATCCACCGTCCACATACTGTGACATAATAACACTCCAGAAGAGAGGTTTCTTCCATTTAGCCTAATTGGTTCATAGTGTTGTGGTCTGAGGTCAACTAATGCCTACTCTCTTTTGGTTTATATACAAATGACTAAAACTGCTATATTTAGGTCATGTAAGGTCATTGATTTGGAAACTGGTCGTTGGCTGGTAAGGACAACACAAAAGCTGCACGGTCAGCAGAGACTTTCTAGTCTTTCCTCTACTTTTTAGAGTTTCATTTTCCCAAGGGATTAATTAACAGTAGGCTTTAAAAAGTGTGACACGTGAAGGTACTTTCTAATGTTAGTGTACTTTTAGATCTTTTAGATCCGTGAATCTAAAAGCATTAAAAAATGAAAACTGCTAAAGTAAACATATTATCTGCTCTTCAAAGTTGGCTACGTGGTGATTGTTTTGAAAAGAACCAGGAAATACTTGGCAGAATTGTTCTGCCCATGAGATTATATTTGGCAATGGTAAACCTGTGAGGGTTTTTTTTTTTCTTCCACCCACTGACCATCTGTTTTGTTCCAGATTTATAATGAGTCAACCAGCAGACTCCAGAAGGACCAGCACTGCCACTTTGTCATTCCCACAACAGTGCTTTCAGGAGGCAGTCAACCCAGCCCTGTCCCCTCAGGTGTCGGGGGTGGTAAATCAATCTGATTGATGAAATTCAATAAGTGTTTGATACAGTTTTACGGCTGGATGTAAACAGACATAAGCATATAAATATCACACAACAAGTACAAGTGAAGGTGACATACTTGTGTAGGAAAAGAGCGTGTTTTTTCAAAGACAAATTACTTGTGTAGGAAAAGAGCGTGTTTTTTACAAATATAATAGATAAGTGACAAATAAGATTAGGTAAATAACATGTTAGCAAGGGTTCATAGAGGTTCAAATTGCTACATGTAGGTTAGTTACTTTCATATGTATAGTAGTAATTCAACAGATTTTATATGTTTGAATTATGTTTTCTTTATTAGACCCTTCTTCAGGGTTTTTTGCAGCCTTAGAAGTAACAATTTATGCTGTGTGTACTTGAGTGAGCTTTATGATAGCAATGCTGAAGTGAGGGTGACTAATGCTAAGCTAACAGCCACAAATATTCTAGTAAAATGGTCATATTTATTTAAATATTTATGTATATATAAACAGCTCAAGCGTAAACTTGACAATTAACATGCTACTGACTGTGTCCTTCCCAATTATCCCTCAACCCCGGTCCAGTTCATCGGTCATGCTTCAGATGTTGCTGTGAAGACATTTCTCACGTCAGTTTTACGACTGAAGCCAGGCCAGCCTGCAGCAAGCCGTCCTCATTGGATGAACAGCAAAACAAAGAGCCAGTAACCATTGTTGTGTGAAGTAATACTCGCACATGAGCAACGGCAAACCCAAAAATCAATGAGAACAAACACACTACACATGTTGCCTGCTCTGAAGCTCTGTACTGACCCATAAACCTAGGAGCAGGAAGTATTTTAAGAAATGAGATATTTCAACGTTTGATAATTGTGACCATGGTGCGATCAAGAGTTAATCTGTCCATTTTGTGCACCTTATTCCAAATATGTGTTTTTGTTTTTTATTATTTTGAACCTCTGTCATTTTACGCAGTTCCCTCCAGTGGATGGTACATGAACTTCCCATGGAAATCACATAAACTGAAATGAAACTGCATTCATGACACACCAATGCTTCGTCTTTAGTCATATTCTTTGGGGGACACAGAGTCCACACCCGTGCACATAGATCAGGGATCTCCAAGTCTCAGTGAAATGCACACTGGCCCCAGTGAAAGGAAGCTCTGGTTTCAGCAACACTGATATCATTCACAGACAATGGGAAGGCACCGGGAGTGGGAGAGTGTGCTTTTCTTGTCAGAGGGGGGAAAGCACACCTACTAGGTGTAGGAAGTAGATGCAGAATTTGGGTGCTGGTGTTTCTTACCTTGCTGTCCAGTTTTTTCATAGTGACAAGGTCCAAAGACTTGAGGGAATGTCCCGTAGGTGCAATGAAGTAAAGGCAGATGTGGATCCTGGTGTCATGATAGTTGAAGAGCGAGCGTTTGATCTTCAGTTCTTCTTGGAGATAGTTTTCAAACTGAGTGTCAATGTAGTCAACAATGGGCTTGTAGCTATGAAAGCAAGCAGAAAAGAAAAATCCATTCAAAGGCAAAATATTGGAATGTCTTTATAGATGTTAACATGATTCATTTTGATGGATGGTTGTTATTACATTTTACAGTAAATGTAGGATCTGAATCTCAACGTTTTAAATTAGAATGGCTACAAAACAGTTTTTTGCACGCGTACAGAGCCATGATATAAGTGTGATCAAGATGCAAGTAAATAAAGTGACATGTAAACAAAGCACAAGAGATCATCTGATTCTGTACTTCCTTTTTTATAGCAGCAACAATCACAAAGTCAAATGAGATGTAGTTAGGGCTTAACCCGTCATTACAGACGGTGAATCATGCTGAGGCAGCAGTTTGTCTCTTGAAAGTGTTTCTTAAGTCTCTCAGCTTCACAACAATAAAATTAGGGAAGTCGTGAGATGTGTGACCATCTGGGAACACATTTGTTTCCTTGTTTCAGATGAGGAAAAGAATAACGTCTTAACTTCTCATCAAACATGTCAGTGCTGTCATTGTCTTTCACTGTTCACCTCCTGTCACTGGGTGGATTTTCTGTCTGCAGCTGTGACAGTTTCTGGAGATCATTTATGTCTTACATGTTCAGCAAATGTCTCCACAATTTCACAACAACCTTCATATTACATTTTCCAGGGATACTGCTGTAGTTTCCACACAACTGACGCGGCGCAGTCACCTCTGTCTCAACGACTCCAGCTTGTTTTGTTTTTTTTTTATAGTCACCTCTGTCTCAACGACTCCAGCTGTTGTTCCTTCAGCTTGTTTTGTTTTTTTTTTACACATATTCCACTTTTGACACTTGAGAAACTTTTAAATTAAAGACAGATACTTAATAATGGTTAGCTAACTGTCCTGCTAGTTAAGACAGAAAGAATTGTCAAAATGGATTTTCCTACATTCCGTTTTATCACACATGTAGGTTTGATGAAGCATGTATTTCAACGTGGTCAGAAGAAACATGTTCCCAGTCCTCTGTTCTCTCCCTTCATGTCCTTTTTCAATCTCCTCTGTGGAATGCACCGACCGTGACCTTCTGAAGTTCTCCATGTGCATTTACAGTCAACTGCAGGAGCCTGTCCTCCAGCATGTTAGTTTTATACAGCCAACAGAGAAAACTGCTGTCTAAAGGGCGTGAGAACATGCCATTCCACAGCTGAATGTCAAAAAAAAAAACTACAGTATTTCCTTTACATGGAAATTCTACTTTGACCTAGTTTCATACACAGATATTTCTTCTTCCTCACTGACATAGGGTAAATGGTCTGTACTTATAGAGCACTTTTCTAGTCATGTTGATCACTAAAAGTGCTTTACACTGAAGATTGGAATCAGGCAGTCAGGAAATGAACCTCCAACCCTCTCGCAATCCTCTTGCAAACCTGTTTACCGAGCTACAGCCTGAGGTTATGTCAAAAGGATCATTTGAAGTAAACGTCCCAATGTTTTTATTAATATTTGACCAGTGCATCATCGACCAACACTTAGCTTGTGCTCACCTGTCTTCTTTGTTGATCTGATCACCAAAGCCAACGGTGTCAACAATCGTCAGCTTCAGGTGGACGTTGCTTTCCTGCAGGTCGTAGGTTCGCGGCCTCAGGTAGACGCCGTTCTGGTAATGACTCGCCTCCTCATTCTCAAACATGGTGTTGAATAGTGTGTTCATAAGTGTGGACTTGCCAATACCAGTCTCTCCTGTGGAGGATCCGTCAAAAGGACGAAGAAGTTAAATCACCCATGGATGTCTGGTGTTTCCTGTAAAACCTTTTTCCACTGTGGCTGCAGGTCATCCCCGCAACTATATTCACCTAAATTTGGACTAAAATTTTTGTATGCAAACGGATACTCACCGACGCAGAGAATGTTAAAGCAGAATCCCTGTGTGACCGATTTGCTGACCAGTTGGTCAGGAAGGCTGTCAAAACCAACATGGCCGCCCAAGTTCAGGCTACGCTTCTCTTCATTCTGCGGAATGCAAACAAGAGAGTATTAAATAAAATAAAACCATAGTCATCGCCACACGGCACAAGGTGAAGTCATTAGATCATAGCAGGAGAGGCAGTGTGTGGTACAGGGGCTCAAATGTTCACATTCCTATGCAAATGAACATCAAAGACCCTGCAGATGTAAAAGTCATCAACGAGCGTGAGCCTCGGCCTGCTGTGGGTCTTAGCCTTAAGAATAATCCTTCATATGTGTGAGCTGCTTATGCACAGAGTGTGTAAAATGATAACGTTCACTAAGGAGAATAAAAGTAATTTATGGAGAAAATTGCTCATTTCAAGAAGATTATTTTCTCTCACAGAAGAAAAACCACGTCACAATACCACTTATCTCCATTTAAACCCTTTTGTCATGTTCTCTAGCTAACAAATTGCACTTACCAAGCCTGTAAATAATAATAATCTGCAGACTCAGCTACTGTGCACTCTTGCATCTTTACTGCTTTGTCAAATTTACGGTAATCACAAAAACTACCCACCAAACACAATCAAAAGTTATTGGTTTCTAAGAGCCTTTTACCCTGACTTTCTCTATCCAACTCACCTTAACTGCAGTACAGTCAGTTGGTAAGAGGGGAGATTGTGTTAAAGCCATTAAAGAGGGGAGAGGACGAATGAGATGAATGAGGCCACCCGAGATTGTCTGACTGGGCCACGAAGGACTGCATATTTGAAGTCTGATGTCACAGAGCACATAGCGGAGGAAGGAGGAGGCTGTCCATCGTCAGATGATGAGTTTAAGGCCTGAACTAACAGCACAATGCGGAATAAGCACACATATAAACATACGTGTATACCTATATGTAGTGTGTGTGTGCACGTGAGTGTGTGTTTGGGAAGGGGGGGGGGTTCCACGTGTCAGGAAACAGAGCTGAAGTAATCTGAACTCAGCTGAGCTCGGCAGCACAAAGCTCCAGTGCACCGTGATGTTTTACTGCACTAAAATAAGACAAGTCCCATTAGAACGAATCAATATATGCAGGACATGGGCTTAGATGTTACTAAACGTTGTGAAATAAATTGTAGATAAATCAAACATGAAAAACCCAGAAAGTTTAGTTGAATGTTGGTGAGATATGATCAACTTCTTTTCTCCCACAGATACTTTCTAGCTGTAGAACACTTTAAGACACTGATTTAAATATTATATACCTTTTTCTATTGTCCAACAGAATTGATTTAAACAGCAGTGGCAGGTCAGTGGAGGTTTATTTCAGGAAATGATACAGGTCAACTTTGATAACATACTCTTTGTGTTGTACTCAAGTTCTGGTGCTTCACACTTGGAAGTCAACTTGAAAAACTATTTTATATGGAAAGAGTTTTTTAAACATATTCTTGACCACAAATTCCTTGTGGAGGTTTAGATATTTTTTTATATTACTCAGGGATTTTTCATTTTATTCTCAAAACTTTACTTTAACATCATTATGTCCACAATTACACCGAAGCTACTATTAGACTACTATGTCCACAATTACACCGAAGCTACTATTCAGAAGCATTACCCAGACTAAATGCAGTAATTTACAATGCAATCTCTTTAAAACATAGATGCAAATATAGGACTTTAGGACAAACAAACAAACATGAGTGATTAAGAGGACTGAGGAATTTGTGAGACCACCTACACAAGTTAGTTCCGAGAAGCGAAGCACAGCGGTGGCAAAAATTATGACAAAAATGAAAAGCCTCTGAGAAAGTACCTCAGGGTGCTAAAAAAACACACACAACACACCGGGATACCACATCACCCGGCCAACAGGAAATGGCTGCACTTAGCAAAACGAGGCACAACACATGTGAGTCAGTTTCAGAACAGTGTGTCTGATGATGGTAGGTTAATATTAACATTTTATAGCGCATGGGCCTTAGAAGTGAAAATGAAATCATCGAGAGAGAGAGAGAAGCTCCTCTGCCAGAGTAGCTCGGTTAAATTTCATACTGTCCAAGTTATGGGAATTTAAATTAGTACGATCCTTTTTTTTTTTTTTTTTGGAAAATACCACTTAGAAAAACACAAGTAAAATATCACCTCTAAAGTACAACTGGCTGAATTCCATTTAGCTTCTTCACTTTCAGCTCCATGCCACTGGCACATGGCTTAGGAAAAGGAATGTTGGAATCCGAGTTTACTTCTCAGCCTGAATTTGTTAAAGGTTGGCTACCTGACAGTCCACTGTTAAGACTACAACTCACCACCAACATATGAAGGTGTCCCATGACATAAAGTGACCAGCTGTGATAACACGGATTCAACCTGACAGCTGAGAACAAAAGCAACTACACTAAAGAGAGGGAGAGAGTTTTTCATTAAACAACCTTGATGTGACCCAACATCATTTGATTTATCTTTCACTGCACAGACAAACAGGCAGACAGACATCTAATTTTCTGGTCTCCATCTCATCTGATTTCAGCCTCGACAGTCAGTTTGCGGTTTCTGCACTGCTTCACTGAATGCCCGCTAGATGGACGTACATGGACACACACACTCGCACATAAACACAAATCACACACACACAGCTTTCTCAGCTTTGTGCTGAGAGAATTCACGGGGCACTTACATATTTACAACAGTTTACACTACACTTTCTGTTCCGATCTGTTTTTTACCTCTTAAATTCTGCCTTTCACATTTTAGACAGGTTAAGTATAAATATTTATACACAAAAAGACCAACGACATGATCATTAATCTTAAATATATTTACGTTTGCTTGTATTTGTTCTAGAATAGTAGTGCTGATTTGCAGTACAGGAAGGTGGTTTCTGTATATGGAGAAGTCAGGTTCTGACTGTAATGACAGTCATGAATTCTATTGTAAATACTGGCAATGAGCTAAGATTGAGGAGATTGCTTTTTTCTTGCAAACTTACAAAAAATGACTAAAACAAGAGGGTGGTAAATAACTCAGTGACATCCTTGGTTTATGAGTTTTGGGAGAGAGAGACAAGAAAGATCTCACCTCAAAACACAACCTTATGGAGCTTCAAAATTCTTCAGATGACGTGGCTGATGATGGGTTTCCTGTGAGTGAGGTTTCATTTCCTCTACACCGCCAACAAGCGTTGACTACTGAGGATTTTGTGAGAATTCCTTTGGCTTGGTTCATTGACAGTTTATCCTGTGTCATCAGAACACACACCTGAATTCACTTTGGTTTTTTTCAGTATTTCTAGCCACACCCACTGATTTCACCATGGTCTGCAGCTACAGCCGCTCTCCTGCTGCTACTTGTGCAAAGGGTGTTGTAAAAAGAAAATGTGAGTGAGTGCACTTGCAGAGAAGGTGATTTGTGAAGGAAACCCACACACACAGTTAGCACTAAAATAATTTGTTTACCCTGTTGGTTGATTATCTTATCACAAGGTTGAGCTTTTGTTAGCGTCTCACACACTTGTAGTACAACTGTAATACATACTGCTCTGTTTGTCCAACATGGACAGAGTGAGTCATTATAGGAGACAGATGTACGGCACACTCCTATAGTCTTCACTGTCACTGAACTGATGACAGCGTCTCAATCAAAATAATCATTCTTACTTACTGTGTCAGTTACAAAATAATAAACTATACCTATATGCTAATTAGACCTTAGAAGTTACAGGCAAAGAACGTAGAAAAATAGAGAACAACTAACAGATGCAGTCGGAACTTATCTTGTTTACAACCAAAACAAGACATTTAACCAATATCTTGTGGAAGGTGAGGACTGTAATCTTGTAATATTCTTTTACTCACTGCTCTATCAGCTGCTACAACATGAAAGATGAGCCGCTGTGTGAAGGCACCCTGACAATAAGAGAACGTTTTTTTATCAGCACTCTATTAATCTCTAAAGGGAAATTACTCTGCTTTTAGGCCAACTGTGAAACACTACTGTGATTAACACAATACTGTGAGATGATTTTTTTTGTGCTTGCTTCACACAACACAGCACTGCCAGAGGCCTAATACGAATCAGAACAACAAACCTGAACCTTTAAGAACCAAGCCATAGGTTGCCCGCCTGTATGCTCCTGGACATATTGCCTGGTAAAATCATAGTTTTTGTAGCAAGATGATAATGCATGTACAGGAGTCCAGATCTGTCTATTTCTACTGAAATGTCTGGTACGAATCTTAAGTCTTTCATACAAGAAAATTAAAAAAACTTTCAAGGGCAAAATTTCAACAATGAGTAAACAGGTGTATAGAAGTTGAACTTGCTTCTGTATCAACCTCAACTATGTTGAACCCAGGTATTCGTCTACCGCTCAATTCTTTTTAGGGTTTGTCAAGGGGCAGCCAAAGCGGTTTGATTACAACACACAGGAAAAGCTCTATGAAGCTGCTGTCTCAACCACAACAAGCGTTGATGCTCAACACTACATATCGTCTATGGTACTTGTAGGTATTCACCTGATCACTAGAGGAAGCAATGGCACCCTCAATAATCTAACTTATCACCCACATTCTGTGGCAATCTCCAAAATCTGGCCAGTCCTGTCAAGCAGCTGATCAAAATATTGAAGAAGAAAAAAAAACACAACACATGATCATAGCTCTGACATTAGATTAAAATTCCTTTATGGAAAAAGATCTGTGGCCACAAGCAAAACATTTGACCAAAAGTATGTGTAGGGTAAATTCAACTGCAGCACTGAAATTTAAAGCTGCAATTTGGTCTTTAGAACTCAAACCATTTCTATTAAGGGATATTGACTATATACCACAGGATGCAGCTCAGTTGTCAGTATTCATTTACTAAAACGGATTTGACAAACTCGCCTCTGGGCAACACTGGCCCTGACACACAGCGGTCAGTAAACCTGGCCTGCACCACATGACCAACATGCCAGAACCAAAGGTTGGAGGTTGGGGGTCTAAAGAACAGTTGCTGTGTGTAAAATTAAACAAATGAATACACCACTTTCTTATGTAACAACATACGCAGTATGTGAATTAGTGACAATTAGTGACAGACTCAACAAAAACAAGCACATCCACCCTTTCAGTGCAAGTTATCCCCTTCTTGTCACTGTGCACATCTTGCCTTAAAGCACTTTAAGAAGATAATTTAATTTCATGCATGCAAGCCTCAGAAGAACCCATCTTCCTCAGGGTCAGTAAAAATTACGTATAAAGTAAATATGTAATGCAATATATGCATTTTTATATCACACACATAGGTTCAATAAGAGGTTAAAAAAGAAAGTGTAGAATGTGTTTGCTGTATCGATCTCCTGGCCTAGAACCCAATCCCAAAGCTACAGCTTCCGCTGGATTGGATTGATGTGGACCAACAATTCAAACAACCACACACTTCTATCAATAGCTGCACATAATTAACAGTGTGCTCTTTACACAAAATGCCAGGTTCATATGTGAAAGTGTTCAATATGGTCTCACTTAGTTCCCAGAGTTAGACAGGAAGTCAGACTGTCAGGCAACTATGCTGCTCCACACTTTGGCATGTTTCACTGCATTCTCTACATTTCTTCTCATTAATCACCAATCTCTCCCCATTTTTTTTCTTTTTTGAATCAACTTCTACATCTTTCAATGTGTTTTCGCCCTTTTTCAGGATTCTCCTTCTCATTTGTTTATGTAGACATGGGGTGCAGTAAGTTGAAGGAGTGGCCTGGAGTGTGTTCTTAATCTCTTTATCCCTGCAGCTCACTTCTGCTTACCGTCCAATTTCCCACCACAAGTATCTCTGCCGGCACCTGCCAAAAAGTTAATAACCCACTCCTTATCTTCTCCCGTGATTTTTCCTCATCGTTGTAACATTGGTTTTCCATGACACGTGATTCGTTGTGCCACAGTTGTGTAAATTATTGGCATAAATTGCACGTTACACGTCCGAGGCTGCGTGCACACTGCAGAAAAATTGGCTTTCTTCACAAGTTGGGTAGATCTAAGTGCGATGTTCACACTTTGCATGGGTTAATATAACCAAGCTTGAAACATGCGACTTATCAACTCCCCAAGCAAGTCAACAACAGATTTAGTTGATGCCATATTGGTGACTTTTATTTAAACAACAAGTTCTCTAGCCAAAGCATCTAACATTTTGACCAACTCAAATGTGTTTTTAGTTAGACATGTACACAAATGTACTTTATATGGTTTTCTGGGGTGTAGTCACTACCAAATTTATAGATTTTTCCTCTCACACTGTGACTTTTACATAAAGGATCACACTAAAGAAAGTTGCATTAAAATACAAAAATGAAACCATGGCATTTAGAATGTTTCATTTCTTTGAGGCAGAATATAGAAGACATTTGAGAGTTATTTTCTTCCAATTGTATCTCCTGTTGCATTCACAGAACATGGATGGAACTAACTTCTGTTGCAGGCTATGGTTGCTGGGTTAGGTCCAGGAAAACATCGAAATGGAACTGCTGTAGCTAGCCACTGACTAGCAATTCATTTTCCAAAACCTACAGGGCTCATTTATTTTTTCCACAGCCTCACTTAGGTGTGGAGATGGCTCTGCTCATGTCTGTGGTGTCATTAGTGCCTTTGTGTACCTGCACTGTAAACTGTAAACGATTACCACTGAGATACGTATTCCAAGTTACTTCAACCTCCCTTACAGCCTAAATTAGCAATAACAAAAATAGACAAATAAACCTATAGAAAAGAGAAAGAAAGTCTTAAATATTTCGCATGCCACGAATAGATACGTGTCATTTAAGCTAAATTTATTTTGCGCCACTGAAGGGAAGGTTAATAAAACTACATGTCACCTGACCAGTTTGATCAAATTAAGTTATTTAATAATTAAGTTATTGAAAGCAGTTTAACATAGCTAAAATAAATCAATTATATAGACACATTAATAAAACTGTAACCTCGGAATTAAAATGTCGAAAATCAAATGTAACCATTAACCAACAGCAAAATTATATCACGTTAAACAGTTGACAGTTCAATAATCCTTTCCTCGAAACCCTCGTGTTTAATACGGCTTTAAGGCTTGTGGTGGTGGTGAAAAAAAATACATGTGGTGCAGTTGACTTTCAAGCAGTAAAACAACAGGAGCGATGTTTTATTTGTGTGTAAGTGAAAGAAACCCATGAGAGAAATGACTGACACCATCTGAGCTGAGCCCACATCACAGGCTCCAGCAGCGGGGGTTAGCTTCATACCCGCACACAGCAAACAGCAACAGCAACAGCAACAGCAGCAACAGCAACAGCAGCAACAGCAACAGAAACAAACAGCAAAACAAAAACAACAAAACGCCAGAAGCAGCAGCAGCAGCAGCAGCAGCAGCAGCAGCAGCTAACACCCACACTTTTACTAACCGAAACCAGGCTCTGGTGGTAGGTTTTCAAACATAAACAAGTCATACATTGCGTTATCTTAGTGTCTTCCACTCACCGAAAACACGTCAACGTCCGTGGCAGCCATGGTGGGAATGTATGGTGTTTGTGCGCGTGAGAGCAGACCGAGCGGAGACGAAAAGGTACAGCCCCTCGTCCCTCAGTGTTAGCCTGCCAAACTAGTGAGGGTGCCTCGCTGACACACAGAGGGAGGCAGGGAGGATGTGAGCGGATAGGAGGAGAAAAGAGAGGAGGGGAGAGGATAGGAGGAGGGGAGAGGGACACACGACGTAATAGAGAGAACTGCTTAATGGGAGGCTGCTGCACAGTGACAAGATTGTGCTCTGATAGAAATCTCCTCCTCCGTCGGGGAAGTTGTTACTCTACGGAAAGCCGTTTACATCTTAAAAATGTGTAATGCAAACCACTCAAAATGTCAGAAATGTGAAAAAAGGACCAATAAACATGAAAAAATAAAGTACCTGACAAATTTAAAAACGCTCACATAAATGTTTTTTAATTAAAAACTTTACCTAAAATTAAACTTAACCTTTAATTCAAAACCACAAAAGTTATTTGATTAATACAATTGACTCAGTAACTAAGGTTTTTTTGTTAAGGTTTAATATTTTATTATTTTCTGTCTTTTCTATCATGTTTTTTTTCATTTGTTTTGGATTTCTTTTTACTTTACTTAAATATATATTTTTTATCTATCTCTTTTTCAATTTTACATTATTTTACATCACAAAAGTAGGTATAACCTTTGTTTCAAATGTGTTATGTCATATTTTGGAATTTGTGACGTCAAATCCAATAATTTATGGATTTTTTACAGCTAATTATCTCTTATAGTGATTGAGACTCATTATAATTGTGTTCCATTTTCCATGAAGGTGATGGATTTTGAAAATTAATTTAAAAGCAGACATTACGTCGGACAGTTGTATGGTAAAGCCACTTAATAATGTTTGTAGTTTTTTTACGGTTAAAGTCTCACGTCTCTACTACGTTGGATCGTGAACTATCTTGACGTGCCGAGCTACTCTTTGGGCGGAACAGACAGGTTTCAATATGGCCACTGTGAGGAACTCCCATTCAGTCCAGGAATGTCATTTTACCCACAGTGCAAGCCAGGACAGGAGCGAGAAACCCGCAGGAGTAAAGGGACTAAAATGTGTCCTGTTTCATTTAGACTCAAATTGTACCATTTCTCGTCAAAGTTTGTTCAGGGGAACTTTTGTAATGCTTTGTTTTTGTAGCTGACAGTAGGTGTTTTTAGGTTGTCTCCATAAATAGTGGTGAATTACGAAGCTGAGGATGATAATGATAACACAACTGTGTTTCATCAACAACATATCAACAGGATACTGGAATTCAATCTATGGTTTGCATTATTATTGTTATTATTCTTGTCATTATTATTATTAGTAGTAGTAGTAGTAGTAGTATTAATAATAATAATAATTCATTATTTTTAATAATATCACTTTGGTGATCGGTGAGAAGTAAAGGTCAAAGTTTGTTGTGTGCTGTGTCACGATGACAAGTAGTTCACTTTCCACTTTCCTATTTTGAATTATGACCCAGTTATGACATTGCTTTACTGTAAATGGGAATTATAGAGCACAACTTGCCAAACCTCAGGGGATTGTGGTCCAGAATAATTGCTGCAAATCGCCTGAGGTCCAACCCCAGATGTGAACAAGGACAACACTGAAGTAAACAGAAAAGTTTGAAAATTAAACACTGCGGTTCAATCACTGAAAACTACAGACAGACAGAGAGACATGTTAAAGGCAAAATTAAAACTGGAGATTTATAAGAAGGTAGTGAGACCTGCTATGATGTCTGATATACAGGCAGTGGATTTGTCCTAAATACAGGAGGCAGAGCTGAAGGTGGCAGAGTTAAAGATGCAGAGATTTTCATTGAGACTGACCAGAATGAGGTACTAATTTCCTACTTAGTATAAGAAATTCACCCACTGTTTTTGCTGGTCAGCTTAGATAAGTGTAAGTGCAGCTTGACAGCCTTTGAGCTACTATGCCACCACCTACTGGATCTTTCTGTCAATTCCAGCAGTCAGTTGAACAGTTCTTTAATCCACCACAGGGAATGTATATATAGAAATAAACAAATATCCACACCTACAGCCAACCTAAGAGCTGACAATGACTATAATATCGGTGTAATATCTAATTTAGACTGTAAAAAATGCACATATAGAAAAAAACATATTAATGCCACTAACTAAAGTGAGTGGATTTGTTCACCACTGTCTACACACCCAGATCAATGAATCTGTTTTTAGAAATAAAATAAAAAATTAAACAAAATCAAACTCCATTGTTAACAATCTGTACTTCATTTCTCACTTGTTTTGTTTTTACCATGAATATATTATTTTACATCATATACCTCATATCTTATCTAATTTGATTGTATTATAATGGAAGGAATTAGAATGTATTTGAATAAACTCCTGTGCACTTGTGTACCTGCATCATCAGTTCCCACTGGAGATTGAGCTGGTGACCCTTTTGCTGTAAGGCAAAATTACTAGCCACAGCTACTAATACATATCTGCACTTGCCTTAACCATTTGCAAAAGTGACATGCAACTGATTAGGGTTCACTCCCTTGTTGTTTTGCAAATAAGCAAGAACAGGTTTAGATAAAAGTGTTAGTACTAAATTATTATTATTATTATTATTATTATTTTACCTTTAATGCATTGTGAATCTCTCCTGGCCAAATGCTTAGTCACTTTGAATTGTGTGTGTAACATTTGCATATTGTATTCAAACGTAATCCACGTCTGCACTTTCCCCGGAAAAATAGTCCTTAAGGAGCAGCAGGTGGGGAGGAGGGAGGTGAGGAGGCAGGTGAGGAGGCAGGTGGGGAGGAGGGAGGTGAGGAGGCAGGCGAAGGAGTGACAGCCGAAGTTAGAGCCCGGGGAGACGGCGCGGCGTTTCACTTGAAACGCGCTTGAAAAAAGAATCATTATATGTATATTTAGATTTATTCATAATGGTTTTGACGCAGGACTCCGTGCTTTCGCTGCTCCTGTCGCGGGGCGGCAGGGTGAAAAAGTCCGACCTGGTGAGTTACTTCCAGGAGTCGGTGGACTGCGTGAATCCCGCAGAGAAGGAGCGGAACAGAGAGCTGTTCAAGACTCTGGTCAACAACGTCGCCGTCGTCAAAGAGATCGACGGTGTCCGGTATGTGGTCATCAAGAAAGTCTACCAGCGTTTACTGGAGGATTTTGAGTCTCAGAAGAGAAAAGTTGAAGAAGGAAAAGAAGAAGAAGCGGAGACAGGTGAGCAGCAGCGCCCACCTGAGTGTGGAGAGGAGACCGACATTACTGTGGACTCAGGAGGAAATGATGGAAATGCTGCTAAAGGGCCGTCTCTAATACAGCTGGCTCTACAGAGGAGCAGAGTTACTGACATCAAGGTCAAAAGGATGCTGAATGTTGAGATCCAGACCCAGGACCCAACCGAGGGTGAAGTCAAAGGGCCAGTCGCTGCCCCCAACAAACCTTATGCCTTGCCTTTGAGAATACCCAACAGTGTCACCAGGGTGGAGATCTGCAAGCTGAAGGCGGACCCAGATGGTGATCCTACAGGGAACGCAGATGTCGTCAGAAACAAGAAGAGAGCTCCATCAGTGGAGGACAGAGCAGGCAGTGGCATCAGTTCACCACAGCTGAGGAGGGCAGTAAAGAGCACCAAGGCCTCGGAGGAGCACAGAGACACCAGGACTCCTTCTGTGGTTCCTTTGGAGGAATTGGAGCACCAGTGGCTGGTCACGTGCGCCGCCGGCCACTGGAGCCAGGTTTACGGCCTACTGCTGAGAGACAGCCAGCTGGCCGACAAGAAAGACTTCATGTCGGGCTTCACCGCTCTGCACTGGGCCGCCAAGTGTGGCAACAGTGGGATGCTGGTGAAGATCATCGACATGTCCAGACGAGGCGGAGTGGAAGTTGACGTCAACGCAAGGACTCATGGCGGGTACACTCCTCTGCACATTGCCGCGTTGCACGACCAGGAGTACATCATGGCCATGCTGGTGGCGGAGTACAACGCCAACGTCAACATCAGGGACAACTGTGGGAAGAAGGCCTACCACTACCTGCACAAGGGCATTTCCAAGACCCTCAGAGAGATGCTGGGAGCCCCCGAACCTCGGCCGACCCAGGACAGAATCCCGCAGGAGAACGAGGAGCTGGATCTTCTGCCTGATCTCCAGAAAAGTTTCCAGTCGATAAGTCGCCTCTTTCAGCCACATGTGATGGGAACCAAGAAGAAATCTAAGCAAAGGCCTGGGTTTCACTCTATGTCCCAGAGTGAGGAGCCCAGTGAGGACAGAGAGGACAACGGCCACAGCAGTGGAGGCTTCAGACAAAGAGTCACATCAGATGTTTTCATGTAGAAAGTTGTTTTTTCTTTTATAGTAAAGCAAATATTGTTAAAAATCAAACAATAAATGTTGATTGACATGATGCTGATTTTTGAGCCTTAGGTAACAACGACAAAGACTGAATTCGATCAAATGGATGTTGGAGAATAATACTTGAAGTTTTCTTTGTTAAGAATATTTTTTATTTTACAAACACTAGTCAGAACAATATGAACTGCAGCATGCACTTGAACCACTAGGTATTAGCAGAATAGAAGCTATTTATTTCCCCTGTACCACTGAGCTGACATCATCTGTTGAGCTAAGAAAATACGTTTGTGTTTGTGTTTCTTAATTAAAATGCTTCAGTAAAAAAATACTGGTTTCTACAAAATATATTTTCCGTGTCTGTTCCTCTCCGCTCAGTGTTGTGTTAATCTGGTTTTATAATAATTAAACAAACTGTTTGAAAATTAACTTTTGGGACTGTACTGGACTGAAGAGAAGAGTTTTGCGCATGTTAAATAATAACCAGTGGAAAGTGGACGCACGGATGAGTGAATTTGAGTCATAGCAGCTGTAATAAAACTGTAAAACCCTCCGAGGAGGAAGTGGAAACAACTCTGTTTTACTTTCTAGCAGATTTATTGTTCTGTTTCATGGAACATTAAACTTAGAGTTAATGTCACTGAGAGCCCTGAAGAGAACAATGTGTGATTTAATTAAAGGACATAAATCCCTAACGTCAGAGTGTATTCTCTCTACGGCGTCTGACATGGCTGCAGAATTCATTTTACTGTCCGTGCAGGTTGAGACAAAACACTTTGTGGCCTGTTGAACCAGCTGTTCAGCTGGTCAGTCACAGCAGGGATGGGCGTTTTCACGTTATTTTTAACTTAGCTTAGCTTTGATGCTAGCTCTGAGCTGTGTCTAAAATATTTTTGTTTTCTTTCATTTTACCTATATTGCTATTAGTTGTCTTAAAATAAAGTAATTTGAGTTTAAAATACAATTAAATGATCTTTAATAAATTACAGATTATTTAATTGTATTTGTGTACTTGTTAGTAACTCTTTGCTCCTAAATTAGTTTTTAGTTGAATTTATTTAGCTTTTTTCTATTAATACTATTTAGTTTTAGTTTTTGTCAAATATTAGTCATATCTATGCTAATTTTGAGGTATTTCAGCTTACTTTTAGCTAGCTTTTTAGCAGTGTGCGCTTCCTGGGTTAAATGAAACTTAGACTTACGTTAGGGTGACTGTTTTGTTTTTTTCTGTATTTCTATGTAATTTTTCCAATAGGTAAGTGATTGAAAATGGTCTAAAAGATATTATTATTTTTTAAAAAGTTGACAAAGTTGACAAATAGAAAAAAATGACAATGAACCAATAAGGATGTGACGCCTGGTTGTAGATGCAGCATTTCGTCGTGTCGTATGTCCTCCAGTCAAACTCCTCCTCCTCTTTCACATCCTGTCGTGTCACTTCTTGCCTCAGCGTGGAGACAATGCTTCATCTCTTCATCTCATCTCTGCTGTGGTGACGCAAACACAGACAAGAGGTCATGCAGCTGAGGCAGATTCAAATTCTTCATGAGACTTTTATCTTTGATTCCTGTTTGTTTGCACAGCAAGCTTAAATCTGTCCCCAGATATATCTAAATGATTCAAGAGCATTTTCCCATAGAACTTCGCTGATTCCTCTGCCTCTTATGAACCATGGGGGTACATTTGCATGCAGCTCTCTGTACAGATCTGATAAAGGTAATGTCTGCAGCTTAAGATTCAGCCAAGCCACATTACTGTAGATCCTTCACAGCGTTATTGACAGCAATGAGGCCTCCAGGCATCAAATATCAGATTTGCATAGAAGTCGGTTATGTTGGTAAATGTTGATTAACTTGTTTAAGTGGTTATTCACTTTAATAACAGTTGGTTGTCTGATGAAACAAACAACACCCTTTAAAATGTTCCCGTATAAAGTAAAGATGTCTTTTTTTATTTTTTAAATAACACTATGAACAGTAGGTGTACAAACTGTAAAAAAAAAGAAAGAATAAGAATTAATAGTTTTCTGTATGTGTACTGTGTAAAGTGGAACTCCCAGGAAAACATCTGCTGTAAGAATGTGTCAGTAAAACACAGGTCATACAGCTTTACAGTCAGCATTCTGTCTTTGTCAGTCTTTACAGCTGATGTGTGTAATGATAAGGTTAGAGCAGGAGAAGGAGGAGGAGGAGGAGTGAGATGGAACTGAGAGTTCAGAGTTCAGGTTGAAAGCTGATGTATGTAGCCACTAGACTAGAGTCTAAACACTGAGTCACAAGAAGACTGTGTATGTCATCCTGGCCCACATTTTAACCTAATGAAGGTGAAACAGTCTAAATCCGACCCTAGAGTTATTTAAGTAGATAGAACCCAACTCTTAGACACAACAATAATGGGCTGAGGGTTTTGTTTCCTTCCTGTATCATTGTGGAGACAGAGACACAGTTGGTGATTATCAGCAGCAAAGCTGCTCATTATCCACCACTGTGACAACACCACTGCTGCTGCTCCTGCTGCAGGCTGTCCTGCTCACTCCTATTGGTCTCATGTCCAACTTTCAGACATGCCATGCCCAAAGTCTGGGTTGGGGGCCAGATATGGATCAAAGGCAGACTTTCTGTGGCCTATAAATACATTTAATTATGGTCAAATCATGTTTTAAGTCACTCCATATTTTGGCAATAACTGTCTGACCTAATTGTCTATTTGTTTTAACTTTTAGTTATTTTAGCTTTTTACTGCTAATTTAACTAACATTTATCAACTTTAAAATTCAGACCAAATATAATTTTCTAAATAAAGATTTAAGTAAATTACACAAAAACATTTTTAAATACCATGTTTAGGAATTGTTTACAGTCTAATTTGACATTTCTTGTAAGATATTTACAGAAGTAGGCATTTGTTTGTCATAAGCACATTCTACAATATCAAGAGTTCAGTGCATTTGAAAAAAACAAAAACAAAACAAACACACAAACAAAATTTTTTCCAGTGCTGTGGCAGTCAGCACAGTCCTCAGGCGGTTTCAAGAGCAATGTGTGTTTGTGCCAACAGAGGGCAGACAATAACTGACTGAACAACTGAGTCTACGTCTGTGCTCCAGTAGAGTAAAACCCAATCTTATGTCTTTTAACACGTAGATAAACACAGGTACAAAAAGGGAAAAAAAAATCCAATCAGAGAGGGAGAGCTTAATTTATTCACAATATTACAAACATGATGGAATTTACAACTCCACACAGGCACGAAAACACAACTCAAACTCTCACCAGTTGTGAAATAAAACAGAAGGGGATTTAGAAATGTCTATACCCTCATCTTACCAGCAGGGGGATTTCATTGCAGGTTTATGTTTGTGTGTCAGTGTCACACAAAGCTCTGGAATTTGAAACTATATCCCACAACTAATTCATTTAAACAAACTAAAACAAAACACTTTAATGACCATGTCCAGGCCAGGACAAACAATGGAGGAGTATTTATAGTATTTATTTATGTGTGGTCTGTTTTTGAGAGTGTTTTCCCTCACACACACTTCCTGTCCTCTGTCTTTCTCCAAAAAGTGGGTCTTTAAAAATTCCAACATGTTCAGGGAACAATAGATAGTCTTTCTGAACCGTCAGCCTCCCTGCGTCAGCACAAAGGCCAGAAACAAACATTCATTTGTTAAGCAAAGCGAGGGACAGTGAGTCGTAAATCTGCAGAGCAATGTTTTAGGGCTTTGTGTTAGGGACTTTTGTTTTTCTACTTCAAACTGCTCAGAAACATGTGAAATTGTGTTTTGATGACATCTACTTGTTCGACATTTTATTTTTTCAATAAATACGCATCACAGTCAACCCCATACACTACTACTCACATAAATACTCACATGACTTAATAGAGTTTAGTTAAAAAAAAAGGAAGAGGGCAAAAAAAAACAAAACAAGTTCTGTCGTTTTGTCTTTAACCAGACGTGACCCAGGTGAACTCACGCACACACAGCGCACGTTACGTAGAGCAGCAGCTCACACTGATAGATTCAGTCCAAATGAAAGTCATGCAAGGAACAAGAGTGATGACAATCTACATTCAAGGAGTAATATTTGATTGCGGAGAATGTGAAGTGTGTTTTTTTTGACACATGATTAGGTGTAGAATTGACAACTCACAGGTTACAGGTGTCTCAAAAGGGAGGGAGGGGCTTAATCGTGGAGGTAGTGAATACAAAAATGAATTGATGTCACCTAACATTAAATTGGTGGAATCTTCTCTTATCCATCAAAGAGTTTCAAGTATTGTGGAAAACGTGAGGAATCACCCCGTGTTAAAAATTTGAAATGAAAACTAAAAAGTAAATGCTTTAAAGAGGTTCCGCACCTCCGCTTAACAAACCGCTTCAACGTACGATCAAACCCTAAAGAGTGAGACTAGTATTTGTACACATCTTATTGCTGCTGATGAATGTGCTTGTGTACCTTTATAAAACACTCAAATGTGATGACAACATTAAAAGTATCATTCCACAAGATGGAGTAAGGCTTTTGAATTGAAATTGTTTGAGTTAAGTGAAGAAATGTGCATTTTTTGTGTCATTTGTATCAAAGTGCTTTTTTTTAATCTCATTCACCTTTTTTGGTTTTTAGTGCCTTAATTTGAAACATTTTAAAAAGTAATAACATTAAAAAAGGAGAAAAAGATTAAATCTTCTACAGCTATAGTATATTTTTAGCGACATGACGCTGTTCCGTCTCAGGTCACTCTAGTTCAGACTTAAAGCTTATCATATTCCACAGGCGTACAGAACAGGAACGCTACAGTTTGTACTGAGAGAAGAAGCGCACACTGAATTCTAACAGTGTTTTCACGCAGCAGTGCTAACGTTCAGCGTCCCACACGGACAGCAAAGGCACATGAGAGGAACAGAACAAGATTGGTCTTCTGCTGAAAAATCACAGGAAACATGTACGTTATATGTATGGGACGAGTCCTCAGAACTGCTTTGGGGCGGAAACCGGGCGAGCCACCTGGGCGCCCACCGAGGGTGGGCCTATAGCTGTGACAGGAGGAGCTGTGACTGTGTCTTCATGTGGCAAATTGAAGCAGTGAAGCACAGACACAACGTTTCACTTGTCCTCTTCTAAGTACATTTACAAACAAATAACCTGAGGCTGCTGATGCCTCTTCACCTCTCACAGACTGTGGCTGTTGATCAGAGCCTCCAGCTGCTCCTCTCCCAGCCTCAGCTTCTCCTCCAGGTCCTTCTGCCGTATCAGCAGCGAAGCCATTGTCTGAACAAATCGACGGTAGTCCTGCAGCTGCTCAGGGGACAGCTGGCGAGATAAGAAGGTGGACACCAGGTTCTCCCTCCGGTCCAGGTTGTCCTTCAGGTCTTTGGCATCCTCCCTCTGTTTGCACAGCAGGCGGTAACGATTGTCCAGAGACTCCTGAGTAAAAAGATTGAAAAGACAGAGAAGATACAAATGATAAATCAGCATCTTGTCCTCAACACCAGGTTACTATCTGTAAGTTTACAAAGACACATCCAAAGGATATCTGTGTTTGTTCAACAAAGGATCAAAGGTTTGGTCCTAATTAGTTGTTTCAATTAAACATGTCAGTGCAGCTGTAAAAGAAAAAGTCCTCGGATTGTGTTTCAAACAGCCACAGGTCAGAAGGTGCAGTCTTTCCTTATGTCAACAGAGGGCAGGGTAGATACAAATGTCATCGAAACCAGGCTGGAGTTTCGGTGAGTCAGTGTAAATACCAGTGTTGCTGATAACAGCAGGAAAACAAACGAGGCCCAGAGTGCGCAGCATGTTCAGCTGAGGCTTTACAGATGGACAGAGCAGACAAAGAGCCTGTTCATGGATAAATCTAGAAATGTAAAGCATCCATGCAAATATCAAACGATGATGAAAACAATGGAGAACAAAATTAAACAGAGAGAGAGAGAGAGAGAGAGAGAGAGAGAGAGAAATGCACTGCTCAACAGTTCTTGATCAAGTCAACGGAAAGAAACTCCCGGTTGAATTGTGTTAATTAAAGACATCTAAAATATAATATTAATATTAATAAAATTTCAAAAGGAAGTAAGTGAGAGTGTGCAGTTCATAAAATAACTGTTCACTCTGATAAAGCTTTCGGCTTCAGCACAGATCATTAAATTAGGAGCAATTCAACTTCCATAAATCAGGTGACGTTTTTTTACTTCCTCGCAGTACGAAACCTTGACTCCATTAAAGTTGCCTTTCCACTTTTCCCAGGTGACCTGTTTGTTGTTCTAAAGCAAACACAACAGGAGAGAAAACCGGACGGCACAGGAGCAGCAGCGATTGTGCATCATGATGTCTACATGGTTACATATCACTGCATTTGCACAAGGGAGCACCAAACATCAGTCATCAGTGTGTCTACATACAGACAAGATCTGAGGTAAGACATATGTAGAGCATGTAGCACGTGCACAGGTAAACAACTGTAATTTCCTATCTTTACTTATCTATGGGCTACAGTGGAACTTTAACCCCAGGTCATAGTCAGAGGGGCAATCAAGGAGCAGCACTAGAACACCATCAGTTATAGGAGAACATCTGAGCCCACTGATCCCCTTAAAGGAATTATGGTTCCTCACCTTCTCCTCAATGTCTGTGTGCTGGTCCACAGTGCTCAGGGCGTTCTGCACCCTGGCCAGCCGGGCAGAGAGGCAGAGCAGCAGGCTGACCACCCTCTCCAGGTCTCCTATAAATAGACTGTATCTCTCCAGTTCGAGCGGCTGACAGTGTTCGCGGACCAGCAGCTCCAGTGCCTGCCCTCGGGTCGCGTTTTCCTGAATTTCATTCTGGAGCGGATCGCGCATCTTCTCCAGTGAACGAAGCTGCTCCTCAATACATGACACTAGGAGATGCTGTGAATTCGAGGGGAAACTCGTTTGAGAGAAGACTCAAAGCATATTTTTTTTGTTACGTCAACAAAGCTTCTACATACTGACTCGTTTATAATCCTTATTATAACCTTTTAAAATAAATGCATTACTTTTTTCTGTTAAAGAGTAATAAGTAAAGGCTGTAAATAGGGAACGTTTAAGGCACCGTAAAGAGGAAAAAAAAGCTATTACCTAAGGCAAACATTAGACCAGTTAGAGACACTGATAAGAGGTAGACAGTACATCAAGTGATAAGACAGGCAGGAGTTATCACTGCTAGAATTTAGTTCAGAGAAGGCCAAATAACATCCAGATGGTGTAAGAATGAAACCACCAACAACAGACGACATCTTTAATTTACCTGACTGTAAAACCTTAATTTGGTTCCAAATCTCTGCTAGCAAAGGACTTTTTAAACATTCTGATAGGAGACAATACAGGTTTCCATGCTACATATTGGAAGAGAGGTGCAGCAAAACAAGTTTGAGTTTGGAAAAAAAAAACGGTAATTTTATTTCAATTGTTTAATGTTTCGTTGGAACTACAGTGTTGGAAATAAGGTTGGGAATCGCTAGTAACTGAATATTTACCTTTTTCTCAGGGATGTCAGTCTGACTCTCCAGATCTGCACACTGACTTTTGCTGCCATCAGCAGTTGGAGGACAAAGAGATGTGTCTGAACCTTTGACCGTATCGACACTGGAAGAAAAAAAAAAAAAAAAAAAAAAGCGTCAGGCATTATTATTATACCTTTGCACAAGTCACATGGAGGACACTTGGCAAAAGACTTCAGTGGCATTATTACAAAACGTAACTACATTTGCACACTCTGTATTATGCTTAGACAGGCAGAAACCCGAGTGCCTTTTGCAGCAGCAGCAGACGCAAGCAGATAGTCAGGTGTGTGTTTGATAAAACAAAAGGTAACACAGCACTGGTGGACATCGATTTGGGTTTCACCAGTATCACATTTCATGGGGGTGAACCATTAAACCAAGAATCCAAATCAAAACTTTATTTTTTTTATGTAAAAAGAAATGTTATGCTTGGTCTCACTTTTCCTCAGGTGTTTTGTTTTTCACTTCAACTACAGCAATAAAATGCTCTCAAGAGACCACTGAATGTCAGGTGTGATATTCCAGAACATTAACATGTACTGTACCTCTCTGCTGCTCCTCCCTGCTCCTGTTTCTTCTTGTAATGCTCCTCCATCAGCAGCGTGTCCTCTGACAGCAGCTGCTCCATCAGCATCAGTGCCGTTTTACGATTGGTCAGTGGGTAGAAAACTCTGGTCAGTGACTGGTCGACCTGGACAACAGCTTCTACCAGCTCATCCCACTGAGGTTTCTCACAAGATGCTTTAAGATTCTCCAACACTGCCTCTGGTGAGCACCTCTCCTTCAACTGGTTTCTGTCTAACTTAACCTTTTCGGATTCCTGATTTTTCTCCTCTTCCTCCTCCTGAGTTTTGTCCTGGTCGGGGGCAGAGGCAGAGATGCAGGGAGACAGTGAGGTTTCACTTGCCTGTCCCTGAAGAGTTGAGCAGGTCAATCTGTCCTCAGAAAGGCTGTCAGTGGGCAGAGCATTGCGGACTTCCTTTTCCACATCTTCTTCAAGGCTCAGAATCCACAGTGCTGGATCTGTGGTGACCCCACAGCTCAGAGACACTTCTTCATTTGACTCAGCTGGCTGACAGTCACGGATGGGTTCATCCACAGACTGCTCCATCTCTGATCCAATCACAGAGGAAGTTCTGACTCTACTGGAAAGGAAGGCGCATAAGAAAAATGACATTTAAAGCACATCTACAAGGGTCTGGGGTTGACAGAGTTTAAAAGATCACGATTTTAATGTAGGTCAGTCTGCAATGATTTGGAGTTTGATCTTACCCAAAGCTAGCTCTGCTTTCACAAGGAGGCTTTGTCTGGACAGGGGAGGTGGAGGTTGATTTGATCTCCTTCTCACTTGTGTCTAGACCTCTGGGGGAAGGTGGATTAGATGAGGTTTCACTGGGGGGTCTGCAGGATCTAAACTCTTCAGGGACAGGGTCGTGAGATACAGATTGAACTCTGGCCTGGGTAAAAGAACATGAGGAAGGGGTTGTGGGTCTACTTGATTTTCTTGTAACTACACTCACATCTTCCCCTGGTTCTGCTGAGTTCTGTTTCCACAGAACTTTTGTGGTGTGGCCTGTTTGGCTCTGAACTGGTCCCTGAAATTTCTCAAACTCATTTATTACAGTTTCTGCCGGAATTTGTTTGTTCTTCTCCTTTTCAAGCCAATTCCTTTCCCTGACTTCAGTGACCAAAGAAAAACTATTCTTGTCCATGTCAGGACCTCCGAATCCAGGCGAATGTCTCCATAGTCGATCCAGCTGCTCAGAACTTCTACTCAAGGCTGAAGGTCGTGCTAGTTTTAAAGTCCCAAGCTCTTCCATGGACTTGCCCCTCTGTGCAACCACACGGACAGGTTGATACGATTCTGGATCAGGCTTCACCAAGGAACCCATCTGAGGACTAAAAAACACATTTAGTGTCCGGTTTGAAGAATAGTGCAAACATGGCTAGAGACATTCTTGAAAATGTCTAGGTAAATAAACTAATTTTCAGGATTGCTTTAATTGTTTGAAAAAAAAGCTGCTTTGCAAGAGAAATGTGTGTTGACTTCTTGGGAATTAAGCTGCAACAGTTGCCTACATCACTGGTCCAACACTCTCCTGACTTAAAACCAACAAAAATGTCCAAATTAGTCTGCAGAGTTGGTACATACCTACAGGTCTCCACACCATTAACTGGTTCTCTGTCACAAGTGCGTGTCTGTAAGAGACAAGAAAGAAACAAGAATCTAGATTCATGGTATATACTGTATGTCACATGATCAGATTACTATATAACAAAGACGTAGAAATAAGTGTAATAAAACATCATGAAGTGGCAGGTAACAGATTTCAACTATGACCTATGAACTTTTATTTTTAACAAAATTGAAATTCACAATGCTTTCACAATCGAGCTGGACCTAATATGGGCCAAACAAGACCAGTGTGAAAAATATTGTTACTGTACTGTACAGAAAAATACTTACAAAATATTTGTACAAATATGGCTATCAAGGACACATGTTTTGTAAATGTATAGAACATTTACTGTAATGAGCTGTAAAGGCAAATTTAATGCTTACAGAATTGTAAAACCTGTCTTGACTTGTGGTGTTCTGGTCTAAATAAAGGTGTAAATATAAAACTGATATACCATACAACAGTAATAGAAAATGAATACACATAATAGTTGGAACAAACACTATGAGTTAAGTATTTAACTGTGTCTCATCCTAGTGTTTGTTAAGTGTTAAGTGAAAGGTTGGGCTATTTGCTTTGATAGTTGTGAAGTTTTCAATAAAGGCTCACCTCAAGGACATGTGGTGTGGATGTTGACCTGATCCTGTAGATATCCGAAGGGCCTGGTTGCTCCAGGAGACTATCTGCAGAGGCTGATTTACCCTGATGTCGACCTTGACTTTCCTTCCATTTAGGCTGATTTGACTGGTCAGAATATTGTCCTGACACAGACTGTGTTGACGTGAACTGTGCATACCTGTTCAATGATAAAACACAGATTAAAGAATGTACATTATTGATTTCTTGTTTCCATAATTTTGTTGTTCTAACCTGATAGAGCTGGTGGAGGAGTCAAGAATACGTCCTGCTGAGAGAGGTCTGTGAAGCTTCTTCTTTGTATGTTTGCTTTCATTAATTCCAGACACAGTGGGGCCCCAGTCAAATGGTTTCTCACCCATAGAGTGTCTCTGCCTGGGGGGAGGAGGTACCTGAGGAGCTGGTTGCTGAGGCTCTGCCCCCTTCTGGCCCGTCTTGCGCTCCATGTACTCCACCAGGGCCTTATGTTGCAAATGCTTAAGGTTTGTTTTTGAGGTGCTGGATGCTGAATTGGCACGATCTCTCATCTCAAACAATTTCCTCCTGGTCGCAACTAGTCCTCGCTCACCCGGTTGCTCACTAGCCTCTCTTTCACAATCGGCTGCAAATGGGTTCTCCCTTTCATTACCAAAAGAGCGACAAGCAGAGTGGCTGGGGTTGCCCCCAAGCTGGTTTAGTTTCTCTGGCTCCGAGTAGCACATCTTCTTCTGCTCTGGTGTCAATCGCTTCCTACCTCCAACACGTGCCACCTGAGGCTGGGCCACATTTTCAGGCCTCCCATTTTCCTTCTCTGTCTCTGTAGTCACTTCCATATGTGTTTCCTCGACCTCCTCCTTTATGCTACACTGATCTGTGTCCTCAGAGGTCATAGAAGGAGTCAGTGTTTCTGTGGATGTTTGGGAGTCCTGGGATGGGGTGAAGGAATGAATTATTGCAGGCTTGAACTCAGATTTTTGCCGGATGCGGTGAGGCCATGACAGCTGAAGGTCCCTCCTTTTAAAGGAAGTCTCCCTTAAGACTTTAGATTGTGCATCCTTCAACTTTTCTTTGTAGTATTTTTTAAAAGATTCATCGAGTGTGTTATAGGCACCAGAAATCATGTCTCCACCGTGGTTCTTTTTTAGGTCAATTCGTAGAGCTCTTTCATCATCATTCACCAATGTAGATTCTTGATCTGAGTTGTTCAGAGTGGATTTGTTGATCTTTATACTTACATCAGTGTCTTTTCTAGGTTGTAAGGCAGCCTTGTTGCCTTCAGTGAGGTGATAAAGAAGAGGAGTTGTCTCTTTGTTTATTCTCTCACTGGCAACCTCGCTCAGCGGCTGCCGTTTCCCTTTCTTAGCCTTTTCCTCTCTCTGTGGGTAGGGGGGCTGTTCATTGGTTAATAATGTGGAGACTTCCTTTGTTTCTGTTGCAGAATGTGAAAAGTCATTTTTGTCAGGTCCACAGTAGAATATCGGATTGTTAGCAATGTGTCGGCTGATCTCTCGACTCTGGATCATGTCCATTTCCTCTAAAGCGTCAAAGCTTCGAGAGGACCGTGTTGACACAAAAGATGGTTTGTGATTCTCCTGATCCAGACTTTTAGAGGACAAGTCTTTAAAATTGGACAGAGACATGAAAGTCTCATTCTTATCTTGAATTGTACCGCCGAATGTGTGACAGTTCTCATGAAGTGGTCTGAAGAGATTATCCATTGTGCTGTGGCTTCTTTCTTTTTCTCTTATCCAGTGCTTCTCCACCACAGTGGAGCTGGAGCACTCACTCCCAGTATCAGAGCCACACACAGATGCAGCATTTGTCCTCATATTTGAGTCAGGCAGTTTGCACAGCCCTGTGACAAAGTAAAACTGACCTTTATGTTGAATGCTGCTGTTAATAAAACTCTGACCAGCATTCCACAGACTGGCAGCATGAGATGAGTCTGACCCAAGCAAGTCATATTCTGAGTGTGACCTTTGTCGCTGGCTCTCCAGTGTGGTACTGCTGCTGGACCTGCTATGGTCCCCATTGCATCCACTGCTTGCTGAGAGACGTCTGAGTTTAATGCACTCAGGTTTGTTATCCATGATGAGGCAGTCTGACGTCTCTGTGACCCTGGTCTCATTATTTAACTTTAGTTGAGGCAGGAAACCTGGTGGCGGTTGGATCTGCGGCTGCTGTTCTTGAGGGTCCTTCCAAACGGAAAACACGGGATCAAAGTGGAAGTTTGAGTCAACTGTTTCTGAGTTGGACTTATCTGGACTTTGGGCTTGTTTTGAGCCCAGTTGCTGTGTGTGAATTCGAGGGTATGACCTAGGCTGTTGTTGAGACTGTAGCTGATGGTGCTTGTCCTCAGCACTGTGCTGGGGAACTGTGTTGTTTTCCAAGTTTTTTGTAGCTATGTAACTATCTATACGTGCTGGGACTGGAGGTGCAAATTCAGGAAGGTGAGAACTTTGATTTGGACCTCCCGAAAAGACCTCTGGGCTGTTGTTATGGAATCTATTATTGCTGTTGTGCTGATTTGCAGCAGTGCTAGGATTGTTACAATAGTGCACAGAGAAAGCCTCCACAGATCGGTAGAGCTGGTCCATCGTCTTTGTATCAGACTGGATAGGATGGTAAATTGACTTTACATACTTAAGATCAGCAAAGGGGCTAAAGGAGCTGGACTGTAGGTCATCTGAAAGGAAAGGAGAAGGATAGTCGGGGGCAGTTGACCCACCAGAAAAGGAGCTGTAGGCAGAGTCTCCTTTGCCGTGTTGATGGTGGGCAAGTTGGTCAATGATGCTGCTGTTGGACTTTGCTGGGGAGAGCCGATTGACGGGAAGGCTCAAAGTTTGCAGGTCCACGTTGCTCATTCTCTCAAAGTGCAAGTTATAGGAATCCATGGGGCACCAGGACGGATGCAAAAAGTTGGGGAAATTACCAATGAGACATTGGCCCCAGGGGGTTAGTCAGATGTGTTTCCAAGCGAATCATTTTCTGTGTATCCTTCTTATTTATTCATTGCCTTTTGTGGAAATCTGTTCTGAAATAAAACACAAATAGCATGGACTTAGTATCAGAAAAAAACATTCAGAACTGGTACAACAGCTTTAGATCAAGAACATAAGACGATCTGTGCAGGAAACATATCTACGGTGCTTGGAAGGAATGTTTCAAATGAAAAATGTCTGGCATTTCTAGGGCACATGCATCAAGAGAAAAAAATTCAGCTGCAACTGCTGTTTATGGTTTTTATTTTCTCACATTTACTGTCATATCTGAAAACAAAGACATTGTTTATTTTTAAACTTTTCGTCTTTCTTTTAAACTTTCAAAAAACAAAACTAAAAAACATAAATCATCAAGTAGAAAATTTCCATAAAATCTCTTGTGAATTATTAACACAATGGTTGCAGTCTATCTGGTTTTGAGGCCATTACTCTTTTCCACACAGTAAGAATATACATTGTAGATGTCAAGTTTAAATGCCATTTCCACTTTAAATATAGATATTGACATGGGTTTTATAGATCAGTACAATTCACCACCTGCTAAATGAGGTCTGCATTTTTTCGCATGAACAAAGCCCCTAATTAAAGGCCATGAGGTCAGTGGTGCACTTTGCCGCACACACAAAAGAATGTCAGGAATTCCTTATGGATCTACAGAAATATGTTAGGATTAGTCATGTGACAGATTTGTTATACCTTGTAAGACTTCCTCCCCAGTGAGGGTCATGTACCTTCTCCCTGAATGTTCATTGGATAATGAAGCATTTGTTTAAATAAGTTAGGCTTAAAAATGTGAACAAGAGGTTAACAATTCAGTTCCACCTGAATGAAATTATGTAGGCCTTTGAAAGAACAATTAATTGAAACATATGTAGGGGATCAGAAACCAGTAAGAATATTTAGAGTCAAGCAGAAGGAATTTAATAACTCTACTTTAGAAAATTCTTCCTGTCCAGCAATGCATGAAAACCTGTTATCAGTCAGGTTAATAAGCTCCTGCAAGTTAATACTAGGTTTAGATCTTAATATGGACTCTTACAGAGAAAATTGCTTATTTTCTGTCCTCTTTGACTCTAAGTGTCACAAGGCTTAACCCACATACCTGTCATGGACAATGATGCCAAAAACACAATAGACCAATAGACCACTAAGTCAATGTTGAGACTACAGACACAGGGCCCCACTATTGTGGATATTTTGCTGGGATTTTAGGGATTCTTAATATGTAAATAAATATAAAGCTACGTTACACACTACAGTTCCTTAAAAAAACATTCAAATAAATGAAATTTTACATTTAGGGTTGGCAGGTTTACAGGCCAAGCTGAATCAAAGATGATCCTTGGTGGTCGTTTTGCATATACACAAAACCCACCTCTTAAAAGCCTTTCAAACTACAGTATTGAGGGGTGGGAGGTTCAATGTGTTTATGAAGGGCCTTCTGATCTGTGGTGTGTCTGTGTTCATGTGCAGCCCTCCTTTCCCCTCAGTGAACACAGGAGCACTCAAGTGGAAGTGATGGAGGGGACAGGCAGTGACAAAATGTACAGAGTAAGATGGAGGGAGAGAGAGAGGGGGAGAGAGAGAGAGAGGGAGAGTGGGAAAAAGGAAGGAAGATGGTAGGGGGGGGAGGTTGAGGAAGAGGGAAACTAGCCCACACAAAACCCTCACAACCAAACAATAACAAAAAGACAAGAAAAGAGAACCAAACAATGACAACAGGGAAACTGACCACAAAGTTCGAAGACCTGATCAGCAGTCACACTCACACCATAGACCAGGTGATATATAGTAGCCAATCGTTCCATTTCAACAAACAGTGTACACGAGAACAAATAAGCGGCAAAACTCACCTAAACTTTGAGACGAAGATTAAAGAAGTTGTAGACCTCGCTATTTTAGATTAAAAAATAAAAATGTTTCCTTAGTTTCAACCTGCATGACGATTACCCTAAACATTTCCACTCTCACTTCTCATTCAGACGTTCTTTCTTCCTCTGAAGAGGGGCTAGACCAAGTAACAAGTAGAGCCTGATATTAGAGGGAAGACTTCTAGCATGTCCCTTCCACCCCCACCGAGACTCAAGGCTGCATATAGAGACCCGCTGATTGGCCAGCCTATGACGTCCAGCTCTCTGATGCACAATGAGCGCAGCGGAGGGAATATTTCACTAGTGCAGATAGCTGCTAGTGCTGCCGGCAGCCTAAACAACAGAAGGAGAGAGAGTGGAGAGAGAGACAGAAAAGAGGCCTCGCATTCCTGGCTGGCTTCAAAGACGGTGCAGAGCCTGGGCGCCATTCATTCCCAAGGCCCCGAGCCCAGCACATGGAGACTAGCCAAGGCAGGAGGACGAACAGAGAGGAGGAGGGGGTTAGAAGGATGACCTCCTTGCTAAGGACCCCCCTCCGCTCCCCCAAAACTTGCCCTTCCCAAAATAAAAGATAAATCATCCACACTATTAAATTCATTTTTGTCTTTTCTATTCTTATTTTAACACCTGGCCTCTAACATGTTACTTAGTGACATATTTATTATACTATACTGTTATTACTGCTGTAGTCAAACAAAACTGATTGTGACGTAGGCTGTTCAATTACATTACAATTAAGAACATCAAGAACTAACTTTTTTAAAAGATGACTGCATTTGGTAAATTAAATATTTAAAAGAAGGAGACTTAAAATGGAGTGGGCCTGGGTGAAAGGGATGAATAAAGGTGGGGGGGTGCTAAATTCTAGTTTTTATGTCTTGATTGGTGATTATGTGTTTCCATGTGATTTAGAATGCAGCCAAGCTGGACCAACAGCCTCTAGAAAAAGTTAAGAAGACAGAATGATTGAAAAGGATACAAAAAGAATAGGTGAAAATAAAGCATGCTGGGAAATTGAAAAATAAATCAGCAAATCTGCCAACCATGTGTTTTTTTTATCAAATTGTTAAAGCACTTTGAGCTATATGATTGTATGAAATGTGCTATACAAGGCATTATTATTATTATTATTATTAAAACAGACGGAGAGAGAAAATAGATGAGAAAAGAGATTGAAATAACTAATGTCATGTGGACAGCTAGCTGACAAGCATGTAATAACTTGTTATCTTGAACTGCAGTGACCCTTGAGCTACATCTGACAGAGATGATGATGTACTGAGAGAGCTTTGGATCATGAACTGAGGAACTTTTCCTGAAATACACAATCAACTGGAAGGTAGTGTTACATAGATGTCATAGCTTTGTGGGTAATACTGTAGGTTTGTATGTGTAGCCAAACCTGTGTTGCTGCTTCAAAGGATCAACATTTGTCTATTTTATTCCTTTTGTCCTATTTGTCTATTCCTACACTCATGGTTTTTTTTTGTCTACATAAACCTGTAACCCTTAATCTAACATCAACTGTTTAACTGTGTGGTCATAACTAGCCCAATGTTCTATGGGAGTTCAATAATGTTGAAACATGCCATAAAGGTTTAGCTAAGTCTTTAAAAGAAATCTATATACATCCATACATACATAAAGTAAAAGAGGATCAGGGCTTCCCTGTTTACATAAAGCAGTCACACTTTAAAATGCCATAGGATTTAAATTACTCCACTGACCTTTCCGTCCAAGTCATTATGTGATTAACTCACACCTACCATACCACCAAGAGCTGACCTCAACTTCAACATACTGTCAGAGGCTAAAATGACTCAAGACAAGTAGTAGAAAATCCTACTTTCTTTGTTTGTCACAAAAATAAAAGTAACATTTTTTTGTAGTACATGCAAAAACAAATAGAAAAGGCATCACAATAACAAGAATGCATGGCTAAGACTTTACTTCGGTCAAATCACCCACAGGACCTCAGAGAAATTACTTCTATTGTCTTGGATCAAACAAGAACAGAAAGGAAGTCATTTTTGAAAAGGTGGAAGTGCTCGGGTGATGACTACTGACAGAGCAGTGTACTGACTAACAGGAAAGCTGTTTTTACATGTGGAAATTACAATAAAAAACTGAGGAACACAGACGATGATTTGCATCAGTGTGCAGTGCAAAGAAACAGTGCCGGCCTGTTGCTGGGCAGTGGTCAAATCAGTGTGAAAAATCTCCCACAGAGCAAGAGAAACCGTTGCACTCAAATGACATCTGTGTTACTTCACTGATTTGGCCAAAACACCAAACCTGACTAAAACAAGCTTTATTCTGTCAATTTGTCCAATGACACAGAGAAGCAAATGTTCCCTAGCATGAGCTCAAAAGACAAAAAATGTACTCTTTTTAAACATAAACACAAAAAAGTAAAGTAAACACAATAACAAATATATGACTTCATTTGAGTTGATTCCTTTTCTGTCTTAAGGACCTCCAGTGGGCTCCAATATCATCTAGTCATGGTGACTTTTGTTGAATACTGTAGGGATTCCTCTATCACACAAAGCTGCAGGCTACTGTGTACTTATTCACATAACTGTGTTTTGTTAGCTGTGTTTGTACTAGTCACAATAAATGTATGAAAACAATTAAAAACAACACTTAATTTTCTAAGGCTGTGCAAATACCTAAAACATAATTGTTTGCCATCGTTTTTACCAATTGCATTCCGTGGCTGATATATTACATACACAACTAGTGTCTAGGTCTACTAGTGGGTTGAGGCCCACACTTTGAGCGACAGTCTAATTTACTGTAAATCATTAAATAGCTATAATAGGATTGAGATAATTAAGTGAAAAAATTAACCCCACTGAGCAAAGAAATGTTTGCTCTTGGTCTGTACTGATTAGAAGAACAAACTCCTGACCTTTTGTGGCAGCTTAGCTGCTTTGCATACTCAGCAAGGACACAAGGAAAGAAATGTGTTTGGGAAGATGCAGGTAGAGCAGACAAGTAAACCTGTTGATGTTTTGATTACAGTTCTTTGTTTGGCATCCATGATAATCACTTTATTATTTTTCTCTCGATGAAGGTATAAAACCCACAAAGAGCTCTATTTCTGTCCCTTTGCAGCCACCCAGGTCCCCACATCAACACACTATCTTATTCTCTTT